ATGTTGTTGTCATTTACTGATTAACTGCTCTGATTCCCTGTTGTATTTCTTTTGGTTTTGGATAGTCCTCGAGAGTTCATTTCCTAGATTGGTATCTGACAGCCAACTCCTTTGATCCCTTCTCTTATCCCCACCCAAGCCCACGCTTGAGGATGGCCTGTGCCACCACTGTCTTGATTCATTTTGCCCCAGGGAAATCGTTCTACCCACCCGTCTCTTGCCTAAGGATGAAGCATGTCCCTCCAGCCTTCTCCAGTCCCAGGATTAGCCCACTTCCCCCGATTTCCTTCTCCAGTTCCAGGATTAGCCCAATTCCCCCGATTTCCCTGTTTTGACTTGGGTCCTGCCTGTTTCAGGGCTGCCCGTCTTGGGATCACGATGAAGGCCAAACTTGCTCGGCTGGAGGCCCAGGAACAGGCCTTCCTGGCTCATCTCAAAGGCCAGGACCCTGGGGCGCCTCAACCACAGTCTGACAGCAAGCCTCCTCCAAAAAAGAAGAAAAAGAAACAGAAAGAGGAAGCAGCAGCTCCAGTAGCTGAAAGGAATGGGGAAGAGGAACACCGAGAACAGACTGACCACAGTAACAGGAAAAGCAAGAAAAAGAAAAGGCGACACCAAGAAGAAAAGGTCCCAGAGGAGAGAGAGGGAACCATAGAAAATGAGGAGGAAGAGGCTGCAGGAACAGGCGGGCTTGGGGAATTGAAGAGCAGAGAACAAACTGATCAGCCCCTCAGGAAAAGGAAGAAGAAGAGGTGGCAGCAGGAAGAAGGGGGGATCCTGGCTAAAGGAGAAGGAGGTAAGGAGGCTGCAGGGGGTGTCAGGACAGAGGAGGTGGAGAACAGAGCATACACTGACCCGTGCAGCCAAAGCAAGAAGAGGCGGCAGCGTGAGGAGGAGGACAGCTTGAAGATAGAGGATGAGGAAGGTGAGGCAGCTTCTGGTGATGGTAGGACCGGGGAAGCAGCAAGCAAAGCATGCAATGACCTAGGTATCAGGAGAAGCAAGAAGAAAAGGAAGCGGCATCGAGAGGAGGAGGCAGTGTTGGACAGAAAGGGTGAAGAAGATGAGACTGGAGGGGGTGGCGGGACTAGGGAAGCAGAGAGCAGGACACGCACTGGTCCAGGCAGCAGAGATAAGAAGAGGAAGCAGCAGCATCCAGAGGAGGGAAGAGCTGTAGTCAGCACTGGCCAGAGAGCCAAAAAGAAGAAAGAGAAGAAGAGAGACTGAAGGCGGGGCTCAGTCGATTCCTTTTCAGGAGTCAGAGCCTCAGAGACCTGGGTCCATTCAGGTCTTCTGCCCTCTTTTAATGAGGAGTCCCTCCTATGGAGGGAACTGAGCTCTGGAACACCAACCTGCTGAGAAGAGTGGCAGAGCCACGCCTGAGTTAAGGGAGCAGCTGAGTTGAGGGGAGCAGCTTCTAACCCAGAGATCAGGAGCTCAAGTGTCTACAGGAGCCAGGAAGCTAGGGACAAGGACTGCACTCCTAGAGCGGAGGAATGCAGACACCCTTTGAAGGGGCATCCCTGCCTCAGTTCCAGCTGAATACCGACATGGAGGCCCAGTGTTGTCAGATACCCCTCCCCCATTTTAAAAGAGAGATTGAAAATATGGACTTATTTGAAATGTTCTGATTTTTAAATAACATACACAGATCTGAATTCAGCCCATGGATTGCCAGTTTCTAACACTACACCAGATGACCCAAATAACATCAGCTTGGGCTCCGAGCATATGTATATATACCCTGGCTTCTCCATTCCCAGCCTGGGTTTCCAGGACAGGTCCTGAATACAATCTAGATTTTCCTTGGAGGCCTTTGAAAGAAATCCTTCTGTCTAACTGTAGTTTTGCTGAACTATTCAGTGAAAGAAGAAAGCTCAGGGAACCTCCTCCAGCCCCGTCTGTATCCCAAATGTATAAGAATCACTTGTGTGCAAAGAACAGCACACCTCACTTGGGACCCTGTGTCAGCGCCTAATGGTCAGATTTTTATTGCCTCCAGATGCCGTGTCTCTCTTGCCTGTTGTTCCACTCAGAGAGATGTCACCATACCCTTGGTGTTCTCTGGCTCCGGCCACCCCCTGCCAGAAGAGCCCCTGGGACTACACGGTTCTGGGAAAGAGAGGCACTGAGTCTTTATTGGAAGGAAGGCCCACCCACCTTCCCTCACTGTAGACGGTAGACACACTCCGTGTCAGGATAGGAGGGCAGGTTCAGCTGATACTTCTTTTCCAGAGCAGGTGGTACAAAACGCCCCCCCAGGTAGTGGTAGCGACCAGTAAACTGGGATGCAGACTTTTTGGGTGCCGTCAGGGAGATGAGCAAGTCTGGCTGGAGCCCTTCAGAGTTTCCCTTCTCCACATCCCATCCTGAAAAGAGAATGGTGCTCATGAAGAACACGAGGATGTGGATGTCTAGTCCCCCTCTGCCCCTTGTACCTGAGTCCTAAAAGGGGTCCCTAAGGAACTCTTGTCCTAGGAGCTCCATGGACCCCTGGGCTTGGTCTTTTCATGGGGCCCGTGTGTACAGGGGGCTCCTGAGTTCTGCTGCCCAGGCCTGCCCCTCGAGACTCCAAACTATTGTAGACCTGGTCTGAGCTTTCAGTCAAAAATCAAGATTCCAAGGTACCTGCCTCAAGAGAGGGCAGGGCCCCAATACCCCCAACCTCCTTGGGCCCAGCACCTGAGGGAATGTCGACGCTGGCAATGGGCACGGTGATGCCACTCAGGACTTTCAGGATGCTCCGGAATGGCTCCCGAACATCACCCTTGAAACTGAAGCCAAAGATGGCGTCCACCACCAGCTCGTACAGCTCATCAATCATCATGGGCTATGGTGGAACAGGAAAGAGGTCAGAGCCAGCAGCTGCACAAAGCCTTTACCTGGGAGAGGGCTGTCCGCTGCACCCACAGAGTGCAAACCATTCACAGACGCACAAGGTCAGTTTTCTCTCATTCAGAGGGCATTCTGAAGCCTAAAGCAAGTGTGAGTTGGTCACTGATCAGGCCAAGCTGAGACCAGACACAGTTATCTGTTCTGTGTGCCAGCTACCACTGGGGAGGCTAGAGTGTGGGACAGCCCAGCACGGGGAGTCAGGGGCAGGGTTCTGGTGTCAGCTCTACCATCAGATTCCATGACTTTGGGTAAATCACTTCCTTTCTCTGTACCTCAGTCTCCCCATCTGTGAAATGTGGTTTTTGTTTTTTTTTTAAAAGACAAGTTCTCAAGTTTCCCGCCCCTAAATGCAAGTGTCTGCAGAAATGGTTTAGGATGAGGCAGTCACTCCATCTCCTGAGAGGGGCAGAGAATGGGTTTACTGCATGCTGGGGAGAGAGGAGTTGACTAGAGAGAAAGGAGTGATCAGGAGAGATGAAGGGAAAGGGAGCTTTACTGGGGACTCAGGGAGCACATGTGACAGAGGGAGGAAGGCTCTGACACCAGTTATAGTCATGTAGCATCCTTCAGGCACTGTCCCTGCCCTCATGGAGCACATGTGACAGAGGGAGGAAGGCTCTGACACCAGTTATAGTCATGTAGCATCCTTCAGGCACTGTCCCTGCCCTCATGGAGCACATCTGACAGAGAGAGGAAGGCTCTGTCACCAGTTACAGTCATGTAGCATCCTTCAGGCACTGTCCCTGCCCTCTGAGAGTTTCTACTCTAGAGGGGAAAATAAATCACCTCAGCCTGAAAGTAAGGGAAGGGCAGTAGACTATTGGAGAGGTGAGGTATTGATCTGGAACCTCCTACCTCTAAAGGCATTTCACCGAGGAAAGGGATGTCCATTTTCTGACACTGGGTCACCAGCGCGGTGAAGAGTGGCTTGTTAGGCCTTTTGGGGTAGTAGACGGTTGGCTGGTAGCCCTAGGAGGAAAGCGGTAATTCAATCCCACATCCTGGAATCCTCAGGACCTTTCCCACAGCCCCTCCCTACACACTCACGAAGAGTTTGAGGTGTCGAGCACAGACCAGGCCATCTCCTCCATTATTCCCGGGGCCACAGATGACCAGGACAGTAGGGGGGCTCCTGGACAAGGACGTGGGAGGGTATGCCTGAGGGGAGAATCAAAGGGGATTCAAGGGGCTTTGGTCAGTTACAACCCAGGCTTGGCCCAGCTGTCCCTCACCTCTGTGCGTCTTGGCCAGAGGCTTGGACGGTGACTCCCCGCAATCTGTCACCAGTTCCTCCAAGGGGCAAGGGTTGCGCCACTGACCTTGGCAATGGCTGTCGCACAGCTCAACCCAGCCAGCTCCATAAGTTGGTCCACGCTGAACTGGTACTCGTTAAACAGCTCCTGGTCCACCGCCTGGGCCTCCTCCTGGCTGAGGGGGACACCTCTGGCCTGAGTCCCCGCCCCTCAGAAGCTCCGTCGCGCAGGTGGCGCCGCGCGGCCGCCCCAGGCCCCGCCCCCGGGAGGGAGGGCCGTCCACTCGAGTCTGCGCCCCGCGTGGCCGCCTGGAGCCCCGCCTACCTCAAATACTTCACTGCTGCGCTCGCCATCGCCGCTGGGTCTTCGTGGACTCCCGAAATCAGCCGCTGCGGCCTCCACCAGACGGGTCCTGAGCGGCAGACTCCTGCTGGGCTCCTGACCCGAGGCAGGCGCGAACCAGCAACCAGCAGCCCGAGTCCCAGCAGCGCCCGCAGCCCAGACATGCAGCCCTCAGAGCACACCCCGAGCCCGACCGGGCCCACCACGGCGCATGCGCCGCGCTTCGCCCCGCCCCGGGGGAGGCTCGGCCGGCGCGCGACGTCCCCGGAAGTGGCGCGCGGCGTGAGTGTCGCAGCGTTTGGGAAGTGTGCGGCTTCCCGTGCCCTTCCATGCACTTTCCCTTATAGCCTGGGTTCGAGCACTTCCCCAGAGCACTTACCTATTGCTGTACATTTTTAGATATACTGAAATAATTGGCTTTGATCCCAATCGCTCTTTGATAATAATCCATATTCTTGTAGCTCTCTTCCCATTGCCGTCGAGTCGATTCGGACTCATAGCGACCCTATAGGACAGTGTAGAACTGCCCCATAGGGTTTCCGAGTTTGTAATCTTTACAGAATCAGACTGCCACATCTCTCCCGCAAAGCGGCTGGTGGGTTCTAACCTCCAACCTTTCGGTTAGCAGCCGAGTAGCTCTCTTAGGAAGCCGTATATGATAGCCCGAATTCCTGCGCCACCACGGACTAGCTGAGTGAACTTAAGACACTCCTGGTTTCCGTTTCCTCGTCTATATAATGGGCTTACTAGTACATATTGATAGGGTGATAATGCATTTAAAGGGGTCGGCACAGGGCCTGGCACATAGGGCTTAGTAAATTAATCTGTTGTTCGTATTTATACTACTAAGTGTTTTATGGAGCCCTGGTGGTGCCGTGGTTAAGAGTTATGGCTGCTAACCAAAAGCTCAGCAGTTCGAATCCACCAGCTGCTCCTTGGAAACCCTATTGGGGGAGTTCTACTCTGTCCTATAGGATCACTATGAGTCGGAATCAACCCGACCGAAACAGGTGTTTTATATAATTTAGGATCCGTTTCAGAATGGGCTCAATGGCACCCAACAACTCCCCACTACATTACCTTCCTCTACCTCTGTGTACTAATATAGACGTTGTACTTCCCTAATCATACATAATGCTTTATTAAGATAGGCCCCTGGGTGGCACAAAGGATTTGAGCTGGGCTACTAATTGAGGTTAGTGGTTTGAATGCACCCAGTAGCACCATGGAAGAAATGCCTGGTGTAAGTTTACAGCCATTGAAAATCCTATGGAGTGCCATTCTACTCTGACACACATGGGGCTGCCATGAGTTGGAATCTACCAGACAGCAACAGGTTATTAAAACAGATACCTAAGTAGATAGCTATAGTGGACTTGACTCCAACTCATGGCAACCCTGTGTTACAACAGAACGAAACGTTGCCCGGTCTGTGTTGTCCTCTCCATTACAGGCATATTCAAGTCCATCCTTGCTCCTACTGTACCAATCCATCTCAGCAAGGGTCTCACTCGCCCTACGAGGTCCTCTACTTCACCAAACACGATGTCTTTCCCTAGCGATTGTTTCTCCTGATGACTGTCCAAAGCAAGCTTTATTAATAGCTATGGGAAGAGAGAATGCCAAAGACACTCTGTTGCATGGTTAAAGAAGAAGGCTGGCAATAATCAACTAGTTACCCTTAAGGCACTGAGAATAAAGATAATGATCCAGAGAGAGTTAAGCTCCTGTTTTTACGCTAGATTTCTTTTTATTCTGTATCATGAAATGCATTCCTGGCTAGTTCGCTGAGAAAGTAAAAAACGCTCCTGCTTTTAACTACTCCTCTGATGGTCTTGTTTTTAATTATAAGAGACTATCATCTCCTATGGGATGTTCCTTTGGCCTCCCTGCTTGCTTTATGTGTTGTTGAGGGAAACCAAATTTGTCAGCTGTGATTGTGGTAGGATATTGTTTTTGATAGACTATGTTTGTGGTTGGAGATTGAGTTTACTCATCTAAACTGTCAGGTACATGCTACAATTTAATAATCTTGTTCCAAACCTCGCTAACTTTATAACTTCACAAGTGGCTTCACTTTTGCATATTAGTCAAGACTCCCTCTAGGCCTGATTGGGAAAATAAATGTGATTCTGAAAGATTCCTTTCTAAGACACAATGGGACATGTATTTCTTTGACATAGCTAACATTTTTAAATGTGTCAGGTGCTTACATGATTCATCTCATTTAATCTTCTCAGCAACCCTATTATTATTATTCCCGTTTCAAAGATGAGAAAACTGAGGCTCAAAGATGTTGAATGACATGCTCAATGACACAGTGATAGCTGTTGGTGGAACTAGGATCCAAGCACCTACGCTCTTTACCATTATTCTATATTGAACTGCTTCCCCAAATGCAGACATATGTAAATAAAGGACTGTCACCACTTGCTGACTTTATTTTGTTGAGGTATAGCTATAAAATAATGACACAAAATATATCCTGCCCCACACACCCAGAATTTATAAAACAACCAAATGCAGACTATACCTAGTAAGAGGTGGTGGCGGTGTCCAAGACCTACTCCACCTGTTACTGCCATTTAGATTTTTTTTTTTTGCAGGACAACATAGTTTTATTTAGCACTTAAATAGCACTTACTATGGTACCAGGGCTTCAAACCGGAATTTGCATTTCCACTCCAAATATACTGAATCAGAATCCATAATAAGATGCCCAGGTGATTCTTTTGTGTGTGTGTGTGTGCTTTAGGTGAAAGTTTACAGAGCAAATTAGTTTATTAAATAAGTTATACACATATTGTTTTGTGACATTGGTTGCCAACCCTGCGATGTGTCAACACTCTCCCCTTCTCCACCTCCAGATCCCCGTTTCCATTTGTCCAGCTTTCCTGTCCCTTCCTGCCTTCTCGTCTTTGCTTTTGGGCTGGTGTGCCCATTTAGTCTTGTATACATGGTTGAACTACGTGTGTTATCATTTGTTTTATAGGCCTGTCTAATCTTTGGCTGAAGGGTGAATTTCAGGAGTGACTTCAGTACTGAGTTAAAAGGGCGTCCAGGGGCCATACTCTCGGGGTTTCTCCAGTCACTATCAGACCAGTAAGTCTGGTGTTTTTTTGTGAATTCGAATTGTGTTCTATATTTTTCTCCCACTCTGCCCTACACCCTCTATTGTGATCCCTGTCAGAGCAGTCGGTGGTGGTAGCCGGGCACATCTAGTTATGCTGGACTGTCCGGTGGAGGCTGTGGTAGTTGTGGTCCATTAGTCCTTTGGACTAATCTTTCCCTTGTGTCTTCGGTTTGCCATTCAGATTTTTGGAGTTTTCTTTGGGAAATGCCTTCAAGAGCAATTTAGGAAAGACACATGGATCAAACACCAGATGCTTTACGTATATTATCTAATTTAATTCTATCAATCCTATGATGTATTTTTATCCTCATGTTATACATGACGAAAATGAGGAGCAGAAGTCAAGTAATTTTCCCATGATAATACAGCTATTAAATGGTAGAAACAGTGATGGCTGATATCGGAGTTGGTCTGACCTAATGTCAATACATCCATGTGACAGATGCTTCTGCTTGTCTCTCAAAATCTATTCTCCTTTCTTCCTTTGATATCTACCCCTGAGTTTTATCTGGCCACATGGTTGCCCAGCTAAATGCTACATTTTTCTGCCTCCCTTTCCTAGAAGCTAGGTACAGTCATGTGACTAAATTCTGACTAATGTGATATGAGCAGAAGTGGTATATTCAGCTCCCAGGTCATACCTTTTTAAAAATGAATGTTTCCCTCCACTTTCTCTTGTTGTTTTTACTGACCGGAATGGAGGTATAACACTGGAGCTAGAGCAGCTGTTTTATGCTATGAGATGGAAATTCTGTGTTGAGCATAGCAGAGCCTCCTGCCTGGGTCCCCAACTCCATGGAACCACCATATCAGCCTGGGCTGGTTATATGAGAAAGGAATAAAGTTCTTTCTGTTTAAAGGCACTCTTATACTGGCCTTTGTTACAGCTGGTGAATCTCATCCTAATCAATACATCTTGAACACCTTACAAAACAGTAAGCTCCATTTATATAAGGAAGATTAACAGCTGTGTCCCCCAGCACCTAGTACTGTGCCTGGCACATAGGAGATCCTCTACAAATATTTTTAATGAATCTTCAAAGTCTCCTTGTGAAGTAGTTCCCAGTACAGTGGAACTTACCTGACATGATCAAGAGTGAATTATTTTATTTCAACTGAAAACAAAAAATACACTCATTTGCTATCTGTCAAAGTGGATCTTTTCTTTGAGGATGGGACTGATGCTTGGAGTTCCCAGTCTTCTTTCTTTATGTATCACCTGTAACTTCCAGTTTGCTTCCTTAAAATGGAACAATTAATAACATACTTGAAGCAAACTGAATGCAAAATTCATCTAGATTTTTATGATTGCCCCCAATCTGTAATTATCTTGTTGTTGTTGTTAGGTGCCGTCGAGTCAATTCCAACTCATAGTGACCCTATGTACAACAGAACAAAACAGTACCCAGTTCCGCACCATCCTCGCAATGGTTGCTAGGTTTGAGCCCATTGTTGCACCCACCATGTCAATCCATCTCGTTAAGGGTCTTCCTCTGTTTTGCTGACCCTCTGCTTTACTAAGCATGATGTCCTTCTCCAGGGACTGGTCCCTCGTGATAACATGTCCAAAATATGTGAGCCAAAGTCTTGCCATGCTCGCTTCTAAGGAGGATTCTGGCTGTACTTCCAAGACAGATTTGTTCATTCTTCTGGCAGTCCATGGTATATTCAATATTCTTCGCCCACACTACAACTCAAAGGCATCTTCTTCAGTCTTCCTTATTCATTATCCACTTTCGAATGCATATGAGGTGACTGAAAATACCATGGTTTGGGTCAGGCGTATCTTCGTCCTCAAAGTGACATCTTTGCTTTTTCTTGCTCACGCCTGATTCAACAGCAGTCTTTTTAAGTGACCTCCTTAACCAAGTCTTAGCATTCAACTTAGTTTTCATAGAAACAGCACTTGTTTTCAAACTCTTAATTCATATACTATTTAATGAAATGATAAACTATAATAACATGTAAACTGATATCAAAGACAACCAACTCTTGGTGAGCAGTGGCTGAACCAGCGGAGCAGAACTGAGAAGCTTTCTAGAAGGCACTCAATGCTTAGGTTTGAATCCTGGCTTCTCCACTTACTAGTTGTGTTACCCAGAAGGACAAACCACTTAACCTCTTTGTGCCTCCTCTTCCTTACCTGTGAAAGGGGATAATCACAACTCCTGCATCATAGCGATGTTGTGAAGATGAAAGGAGAAAACACTTGTGAACACTTACCATAGTGTGTGGCATGTGGTAAGCGCTCTGTAAATGTTACATAATATCATTGTTACTGCCACTAGCAACAGGTGTTCTGCAGGCGGCAGGTCTGACCCCACCAGCATCCCCTGCATTCCATGGAGGAGGAAGTGGACTGCATAGGTTAGTTAAGATGTATCTCCTGTAGTGTTATGATTCCCATTCCACACATGAGAAAATGGAGGTCTACAGAGAGTCAGTGACTGCAAAGCCACTTGACCAAAAAGTCATAGTTTTTAGGACTGACAAAGTCCTTAGCAGTCATGAGATTTAGATCCAGAAAGAAAAGGGGGAAGTCACCATCCATTTTCCTTTCTTCTTTGCCTAGCGAGTGCAAAAATCCCAATGAAGAGCAAACAGCCCCTCAGTGCTGAGATCGCAAAGCCCTGTCCAGCGTGCTTTTTTATGTTCCAGGTCCACACAGGGTTGAACAAATGCGAAGAGGCTTGGTCCCCAGAAGTCCCTAAAGTGTGTGTGCCGGGGGGTATTGCAGAGGCCAGAGCTGTGGCGAGCAGAGTGGAGTCACGTGATCGTGCAAAAGCCAGACTCGTTGGGTCTCCTCTGGGGATTCCTGCTGGGGGCTTCCCAGGGCCATCTGGATGACCTGCAGGAGGGAGGGAGGGGATCACCAGTGGGGGTGGCTGGGGAAAGGGCAGGAGGCAGCCTGCTCTGGCTCCAGCTTCCTGGTGCTCTCTTAGGCCCTTACCTCTGCTGGTGGGCTCCAGGGCAGAAGGGAGTAGGCTTAAGCTTCACATCCTCCCATTCTGCAGGGCCCTCCCTTTCTCTGAGGCCAACAGTCAGGCCCTGTAGGAGGCAGGGGAGATCCCGGACCTCTAGAGCTGGGTGAGGGTTGTTCATATTGCTAAAGGACAAAGAGGCTCAGAGTCCTATATCCCCAAGCATCGGATCACATCTTCTCCCAAACTTACCAATGATCACATTCCATCAAAATGATCCCAAACCACATCCTTTTTTATCTCCTTCATTCATTCTCCAGGTCCCCTCCCCTCCCCCAGGGACCTACCTGTTGGCTTGAGGGCCATTGGGTACCAGGATGCCAGGTTTCCCCACTCTGGAGGAATCTGGGCCTCCAAATGAGAGATGGATCCTGGGTCCTGGACCTGCAAAGGGACAGACACATTTATCACAGGCCTCTCCAAGAACCATCATGGCTGAAGGTGGGGGCGGGAGGATGTGTTGGTCACTTTACACGGGGTTGTGCCAAGGATGCTGCCCTGCACATGGCAGGGGCTTGGCAAACATAAGCTGACTAGAGGTTAGATGGTGGGACTGAATCACGGAAGAAGATATTAGTGAATTCAGGTCGATTCCACAAGTAGCAAGGAATTTTGCTCCTGGACTTTGAAGCCTCTGGGAGAGACACTAGTTAATAGTGAGTTAGGGTAAGAAAAGCGCCCAGCGTGGTGCCTGCCACATAGAAGCAGGCTTTCAACAAGCCTTGATGCTCTTAGATGCAAAGTTCTAGAGTTAGGGAAGACATACAAGCAGGGAGGAGGAGGCGATTCCAGAAAGGGATGGGAAAATGGGCTAGGGCCTTGAAGACTGGCAGAAATGTGGGAGGGCTGGGCCAGGGGTTGGGACCCTGGAGAGCAAACGGGGTCTGGGGAGAGGGGGCTCGAGGGAAGCCCTAGGTCTCAGCCCAGACCTGAGGGAGGTGGGGGTGGGGGCAGAGGTTAAGGAGGTTGGAGAGATGCTCCCATTTGCAGGGAGGAGGAGCACAGCTGGATTCAGGCTTCGTGGACTCACTCTCCAGTCTCCGCGCCCGAGACATTGCGGGAACATTCGCCGACCCCTCCTCCTCTTTCTTCTCACGGTTATCCTCAGCCTCTTCGTCTTCCCACCGACCGGCAGATCTGCAGGGGCAGGGGCGGGGGCGCAGCGGGAAAGAGAGGCACTTCCGGGCCTGTCCCCAACACCGCCGCCAGGCTGCGAAACCCCCAACCCCCTCCAGAGGCCACGCCCACCCGGAAGCTCCGCCCCCATCCCGCTCACCTGCGCTGGGCGTCTGCCTTGCCCCTCCCCACCCAGGCTGGGCTCCCCGCCGGGCAGGCCCCACCAGGAGGCTGCGGCCTCCCGGAAGCCGGGGTCTGGGGAAGAAGGAGAATAAATGGTGTGGGTGTGTGTTCTTCCCAGCTGCCTGCGGGGAGACACTGTGGCCTCAGAGAGACAGAGAAGTGATAGAGACAAACTGGAGTGTGCTGCTTGTCACTGAGATTAAAAAAATCCTGGATGAGGCCCTTTGTTCCCCACCAATAACTCTCAAGTTAGCACGCGGGCTCACGGACTACCAGATCTGCCAGAGCCTGACCACCACTCCCTGCTGCCTGGGCCTTCAGGGGCTAAGTCCCGGAAAGTTGGTGGCAGACCCAGGTCTTCTGGCCCCCAACCAGATCTTCTGCCTGTACCAGGCTAATTTAATTTTGCTTGCAGCCATAGATACGGTGTCCTAGTCCTTAAAATAAGAGAGGACATACCCGTTACGGTACCCGTTGCGGTTAAGTCGATTTCAACTCAGAGCGACCCTGTAGGACAGAGTACGACTGCCCCATAGGGTTTCCAAGGAGCGGCTGGTGGATTAGAACTGCTGACCTTTTCGTTAGCAGCTGTAGCTCTTAACCACTGTACCACCAAGGCTCCGAGAGAGGACATTAACGCTATCAAATAAATAGGATAAATATTAAAGTATAATTTCAGTTCCTGTGTGGGTGGGGGACGGTTTCCTGGGAGTGTCTTAAAGTGTGAGGGAGGAGGCAGCTGGAGAGACAACAGCCTGCTGGAAGAGACATCAGCCTGTTGAGAGAGACTGGGAGGTAGAGAGAGGGTGAGGCAGCGCCGGGAGGGCGAGGAGTCCGAGAAGGAAGGACAGACAGAAACCCACAAAGAAATGCCTCTAGGGACTGGAGAGAGGGACTTCCTTGGAGCACTCTCGCCATCCTGTGGCCTTCTCCGGAACTGCAGCCAAGGACTTAAAACTGTTTTTACCTCTTTCCACGTCCGGCTTAGGATCCTTCACCCAACGGGCTGGTTACTACTCAGCCAAAGTCCTAGCACAGCCCCGCCCACCTCTCTACCTCCTGGTGACCCCAGGAAAGCGATACACCCCGTTTGCAGGCCCTGGGAGCAGATGAGCACAGACAAGCAGCCAAGCGCCGCATCCCTGAGGACATCGCCTCTGCTGACACCCCCCCTTCTCTGGGTAACCTCTCCCCACCTCCAGCTCCAACTCACCGGGGTGTGAGTCAGGACCAGCTCCCCCTGGGCCAAGTGGGTCCTCATGGCATCCGCCAGTTTGGCCACGAGACGTTGTCTCACAGAATCCGGCTCTTTCTGAGGGGAGGATAGATAATGGGGTCACGGGGAAGACCTGGACTTTGTGGTCCTCTGGGAACTGGGGAAGAAAGAAACAGGAAAGTGAGGAGGGGAGAGGGCCTTGTCTCACCTCTCTTCTACTCCCTCCCTGTGCCTTTCCTGGGGTCCTGCCACCGTCTACCAGAATTGTAGACGGAAATGGAATCTTCTTCACCGTAGTATCCCCAGGGCCAGGCACACAACGTGTCCATGCACATTTGAGGAGTGAATGAATGGAGAGGACAAGGAAGGCAGGCAGGAATGTTAGCCAGAGGAGGCTTCTAGAGGAGGGATGGCAGGGAGGAGAAGGTGGTCTCACCTGGCACTGGGCCAGCGCTTCCTTATAGTGCTTCAAGGCCTGGTCGTATTGCCCCAGTCTGGCCGCAGCAGCCCCCAGACCCTCGCAGGCCTGCCACTGCCCCTTCACGTCCCCTGGGGAGGGAGAGCCTGAGGGGTGCTGCACCACTGACCCTTCCCTCCAGAGGTACTCCCATCCCTAGCTCCCCCATCTGCCTCCCTGCCAACCCTAAGGACCCTCAGCCTTTGGGCTCCCCCGCCAAGCCACGTGCTAACCCCTCACCCTCACCAGTGTCTCGGGCAGCCTGCAGGGCGTGAAGGTAATTGTCTCTGGCGGCCTTGTGGTCCCCCAGCTGGCTCAGCGCAAACGCCAGGCTGCCAAAACTCCGGCCCTGCTCCCAGCGCTGCCCCACAGAGCCTGGTGACAGAGTCCGCCCCATCCAAAGCGGGGACCTTGGTGGCTGGGGCATCAGGATCCTGCCCCCCCAGCAACCAAAGAAAGGTCCCCAGCAGTCCTGGTGCCGAGCCCCAGCCCACCTCCAGATGGACCACAGAGGCCTGAACTCTTGACACTTGGCCTCTCCTCAGTCCTGAGTTTGGGCCTGAATCTGCCCCCCTACCCCAAGCTAGTTCGAGCTATATGACAACCCTGTGATGCGGGCAAGGCCGGTATTAATAGCTTCGTTTTGACTCCTGAGTGTTGCACGAACAGAGGAGGGACCGATACTCCACTTCAGGCCTTCTCTCCCAGCCAGCGTCCTTCGCTCTGTCTGTTGCTGCCTTTCCAAGCCTAAGGCCTCAGCCTCTGGGCCCATAACTCCTGTCCTGCCTGGCCTGCCATCTCCTGCACCACCAGTCCTCATCCCCCTGGTTCTGAGCTTCCAGGCCCTGTTCCTGTCCCAATGGTCCACCCACCCTTCAGCCACAGAGCCTTTCCCCCCCACCCCTCAGTTCCTTGGTCCCAATCCTATTCCTCAGTCCCTGGCACCTACCATGCAGGTTGGCAGCCTTCTGGTGAAACTCCCGAGCTTCCTGATAGTTGCCAAGAGCATTGTGGGCCATCCCGAGGTTTCTTAGCACAGTGGCCTCCTCTCCAGGCTCCCGGCACAGGGGCAGGGCCTGCAGGAAGGCCTCCACTGCCAGCGGGAACAGCTGGAGCTGGGAGTAGCCCAGGCCTAGGTCGTTATAGAGCTGCCCTAGAGGGCATGGCCAGGGTCACTGGCAGCCAGGTCAGACACTAACAGGCTGTACCGGTGCAGCCCCTGTCCCACTCTCCCAGGGTCCCCCAGCCCCTGCCCCAGCCCTCAGAAACGCCTCAGCTTCCACCCTTCCCTCAAAGTACCACCAGGCCCTGTATCTCCCCCCATCCCACACGTCCTCTGCCCAAAGGCCTCACCCAGCAACCCACGTTCAGCGCTCCTCTCAGCAAGCCTCCGGCTCTCCTCCAGCACCTGCACCACCTCACCCACCCCATGCCGTCCGCTCTTCAGCATACACCCCGCCGCAGCCCCCATTGTCAGGGCTGCGGCCCGGGGCCGCCCCGCCTGGGCATAGGCCCGGCTGGCTTCCTGCAGGCAGAGGGCTGCTAGCTCAGGCTGTCCCAGAGCCTGATAGCAGTCTCCCATTTTTGCCTGGGCTTCTCCCTGGTCACCCTGAGGCTGGTAGTGGCCCAGAGCTCTGTGATACCAGGCCAAAGCTTGGGGCAGGTCACCCAGTGCATGGTAGGCCAAAGCCACATTGAAGCACTGGTCACCACAGCACCCGCCCTGAGCCTTCTCTTCAGGCCGAGCTCGCAGGAGTAGCTCAAGGCCTCTGGCTGGATCCCCAGTCTCCACGTAGGCAGCCCCCAGATTGAAGGCGCAGGCCCGGAGGACAGGGGTATCTTTGGCTCGTGGGGCCTTGGAGGCTAGGAGGAAGGCCCTCTGGAAGCTGGTCAAGGCCTCGTGGTTCCGGCCTGCCCTCAGGGCACCATGGCCAGCCCTGGTGAGGGCCTGGATGCTGGCCTCTTGCTGCAGCCACTTTCTTTTCTTCTTCTTCTTGGAGCTTGAGGGCTCAGGCCCATGCTCTTGGGGAGTGTCCTCAGGGGTGGGGGAAGACATAGGCCTGACAATAGGGAATAGAGGGGTCATTATGTCAGCCTTGACTTCCCCGGAAGTAGGATCCCTTGAGGGCAATTCAGTTCTACCACTGCCCTGGTATGACCCTCACTTCCATATCACTTCTCTTCTCTTCTATTAGGCACCATATCTGCTCTCACTGATGTCCTGACTAACTTAGTCCTCCTGCAAAACTCAGCTTAAGTAACGGCTTCCTTTAGAAAGCTGGTGGCACAGTGGTTAAAAGCTCAGCTGTTAACCAAAAGTTCAGTGGTTTGAACCCACCAGCCGCTCTGCGGGAGAAAGATGTGGCAGTCTGCTTCCGTAAAGATTTACAGCCTTGGAAACCCTATGGGACAGTTCTAGTCTGTCCTACAGAGTCACTATGAGTTGGAATCAACTTGATGACAGAAGGTTTTCCCTCTATCTGGGTCCTTCTTCTGTGCTTCCAGAGCCCCTCATGGGTTAAAGTTGTTGACTTTCTCGTTCGTCTCTTCCACTGTGCAACTGGAAATGTCTGGTACATAGTAGATTCTCAATAAATGTTTATTGAATGAATGGATGAATGAACAGAACATATACAGGGCCTCTCCTCTGCCACTTCCTTCACATTGTGCCCTCATGTACATGCATAATCTAGGTATTCATGCCGTCTAATCTCAAACTATAGCTCCGATCAGTTCAGCAGATACTCAGTGAACTCCTGCCATGTGCCTGGAGCCATGCTAGGCAATGGGGACACAAAGATAAAAAAAAGCTATTGAATTGGCAAGGATCCAGGGAACCCTGGTAGCATAATGGTTAAGCACTCGGCTGCTAACCAAAACGTCAGAGGTTCAAACCCACCAGCCACTCCATGGGAAAAAAGACCTGGTGATCAGCTCCCATTAAGATTTCAGCTTAGGAAGCCCTATGGGGCAGTTCTTCTGTCTCTTATAAGGTTGCTATGAGTTGGAATTGACTCAATGGCACATGACAACAACAACCTCTGGGATTTGGGGACTAGTGAACTCTGTCTCTCCACTTGCCTTCTCAAGGGGAACCTCTCTCCCCCCATCTCCTCAGCATTCTGTCTGCAGCTGGTCCGAGGGCCCCCAACATCTGGCTCTGGTATCCAGAACCCTCTTAAATGCAAACACGTTCATCTCATCAGCATGCGTATCCTGTTAGTATCTCTCGCCTTGAAAGGCAAAGTTTTTTCATGAACTCTCCTCCCAGGAAACAGGAAAAGGCGTGGAAAGACCAGGCATTTGGGTGCTCAGCCCCTCTCATTTTCTTCTTTATTTATTTATTTTTGTCAGGGAGGAGCAGACAGAACTGATGCATTCTCTTTTTAAGGAAACTCCCCCTGCTTCTAAGAACACCCAGAAACTCTGCCTCTTCAAGGCCCCCATCCCCAGAAAGGAATTCCTGGCAACCCCCACCTGGTCTTGGTGCCCCCCGCACAGGACGCCATGTCATACCTCCTTCAGTCTTCTTCTCTGCTGACTTTCTGGAATGGTCCCTCTGGCTTGGGTTACCTCCCTAGCTCTTAGCTCTGAGCCCCCGGGGTTACCAGACAACCGGGTTCCGCCCTCGCCTCTAGGGAATTCTTTGATTGACAGCTCAGGTGCCCTATCTGAGTGCTGAACCCTGATGGTACTTGGACACAGAGATATCTGGGTTCCACTGCCCTTCCTGCTCCCACCGCCCCTTGCCCCTGCAGACACACCCCTCAGACCCCTTACTTCAGGGAATGAATCAAACCATCATGGGACTGGTTAGTGGTTACAACCTCAGAGATCATCCATCTCACGCCCTCATTTTACAGAGGAGGGGACTGAGGCTCAGAGAGTGGGTGTGACTTGCCTAAGGTCACAGAGCAGTCATATGTCTGGGGTTAGACCCAGGCCTCCTGATTCTAGGCTGACCAGCCTAGGGTCCTGTTATGGATTAAATTATGTCCCCCAAAAATATATGTTGAAATCCTAACCCCTGTATCTGTGAATGTAATCCTGTTTGGAAGTAGGGTTTTCTTTTGTTACATTAATGAGGTCATATCAGAGTTGTGTGGGTCCTAAACCTAATCTCTTCTGAAGGGTCTCTTATAAAAAGGAAAATCACACAAGAGGGAAGAAGCTGGATGATGATGGGTAGAGGCAGAAGTATCTACAAACTCAGGAATGCCAAGGATTGCTGGCAGCTACTAAAAAGACAGGAAAGAAAGAAAAGGCCAAAATGGATGTCAGAAGAGACTCTGAAAAAACTTGCTCTTGATCATAGAGTAGCTAAAGCGAATGGAAGAAATGATGAAGTAAAATAGCTGAACTGAAGATTTCAAACAGCTCGAGAAGACAAAGTAAAGTACTGTAATGAAATATGCAAAGACCTGGAGTTAGAAAACCAAAAGGGAAGAACACACTCAGCATTTCTCAAACTGAAAGAACTGAAAAAAAATTCAAGCCTCGAGTTGCAATATTGAAGGATTCTATGGGTAAAATATTGAATGACCCGGGAAGCATCAAAAGAAGATGGAAGGAATACACAGAGTCACACTGTACCAAAAAGAACTAGTCGACGTTCAACCATTTCAGGAGGTAGCATAAGATCAAGAATCAATGGTACTGAAGGAAGAAGTCCAAGCTGCACTGAAGGCATTGGCAAAAAACAAGGCTTCAGGAATTGACGGAATACCAATTGAGATATTTCAACAAACGGATGCAGTGCTGCAGGTGTTCAGCCGTCTATGCCAAGAAATTTGGAAGACAGTTACCTGGTCAACCAACTAGAAGAGATTCATATTTACGTCCATTCCAAAGAAAGGTGATTCAACAGAATGTGGAAATTATTGAACAACATCATTAATATCACACTCAAGTAAAATTTTGCTGAAGATAAATAAAAAACTATTTCAGCAGTACATCTACAGGGAACTGTCAGAAATTCAAGCCAGATTCAGAAGAGGATGTGGAATGAGGGATATCATTGCTGATGTCAGATGGATCTTGGCTGAAAGCAGAGAATATCAGAAAGATGTTTACCCGTGTTTTATTGACTATGCAAAGGCATTCAACTGTGTGGATCTTAACAAATTATGGATAACATTGTGAAGAATGGGAATTCCAGAACACTTAAT